AGATATCAAATTTATCAAATGTTGGAACAATTAACCAAAGATACCGAGTAGATAATTAATAGGAAATGCAATATAACTTTATTACGGATTGCTTCAGGCTTGGCTTCATATGTTTCCATGCCTAATTTCCCTGGATTGGTATTTTAGAGATTATTTTAGGAAGTTTGAACCCTTTTCTTTTTTCCTAAAACACTCACAAATCAAAACTGGGGTCCTAAACCTTGCAAAAGAAATTAGCATACAGCTTCCTGGTTTTAGGTTGGAGTTGATATGCCTTTTTTTTTTTTCTTTGAACACTGGGCAGGCATACAGAAGAGAACTGTAGGATTTTGGTGGTCCCCAATTGGTTTCTATTTGTTGGTTGCCAACATCACATGTGTAAAATGCAATGCATCTAAAAGTAATTGGCTAGAGCATACACTTTGCAATTAGGTTAGAAATTCAGGTGCCTCAAAGTCACAGACCTTACCATTCTCTTCAAGGCTGGATGGTGTTGCTTAGTTCTGCCAAATCATCTTCATAATTTCTGGTCCTGTCTGTTACAAAGAGAAGCCATTTCCGTGTGACTATTCCATAGTGTCTGGTCTGGTAATGTCACCATATTCTGAGAGAGAGGATAAGAGAGAACGAACCAGTGAATAGCTTTCCCAAAAGCTCCAAGGGTCAGAATTCCCATTCTTCCCAAACAGGGCTGGTTCCTGGAGGAGCCAGGCTTCTGACGCTGTTCAGTAAAGACAGCTTACATGCTGCTGTATGTTCTCTGGGGGGGTAGATTTGGAGTTTACATATTCATACCTATTTCTCCCTGATCATTTGCATTCTTAGGTCACAGTTTTTCAACTTCCTTCAAAAAACAAGTCAGAATTTGGAATGTTACATTCTACAGATTTGTCATACCTCTATAATTTTAAATACAAATAAATAATAGCCTGATATCAGCTTATATTATAACACCAGAAAATCCTGTGGTTTTCACAGCAAGGGGGTAGATGATCTAATGGGGCCCATCCTGAACTAAAAAAAGCAATATCAGTCTGTCTAAACAGAGAGTGCATACATATTCCATACGTAAGTTTGTGATTATGTTAGAAACAAAACAGTTGCCTAGGGGTCAGGATGCTTGAGTTTTAGTCTAGGTTTGGCCACTGAGTTGGCTTCATACATTGGGTGAATTCCTCCACCTTCTAGGCCTTTGGTGTCCTGTCTGTGCAGTGGCCAGTCTGGCACCTGATTCTCCTGAGCATGGGGAACCATGAGGCTCAGCTGGGAAACCTCAGAGGAAGCAGTGAAATACCTCTCTTGGAAACGAGATGTCTTAAATATCAAGTGATTGTGTCTTATGAGTTGTTTGAAAGGAAAGGTAGTCCCAGGTCTTTTATGAGAACAATCTCAGGTAGATTTATAACCAATCTTGGGACTCTAGCATGGACTGAATGAAGCTTATAAACCTAAATTGATTTTGAAAGGAGCTCTAGGTTGAAAAAGAGGGTTTGTGACCTTATTAGTGGTACCTTCCCATTTCTTTGACAGGGAGATGCTTGTATTTTCTTCCATCTGAGGGCCAGTAGGGCTATTTGAATTTGATGAGTAATCTTCCGACAGGTCCTCTTCGCCCAAAGTAACTGTCTACCAGGCTGGTTGGTGTTGCCCATGAGCTAAAGGGTACTCTTGATGCCTGGCATCCTTTGTATCTCCTCATGGTTTCTTTATTTCAACCACATTCTTGGCCAACGAAGACAGCATCAAGGAATGCCAAGGAGAGCGTGCCGAGTGGCCCCATCCTGGGTGAAGTGTAGGAGGGGGGCAGCTTGGCTTCCCCCTCTGACCTTGCTCGGAGCTATGAAAGCTGGAGGAACACAGCTCTTGGCATCTGTCAGAGGAGAGACTTGGGGCTCATGGCCTCCAATCTTGCTGTACATAGATGTTTCCCCAACTAAAACCAACCATTCATCCAAATAAAATATTTCTAAGTATCAAGAGGCAGCAGGGGATGGGGTTTAAGAGTATAGACAACAAGTCCACCTGGCTGGCTTGGAGTCCCAGCTCTGCCATTTATTTGCCACGCAGCCTTGGCAAGGTACTTAACCCTCTCTGTGACCCATTTCCTCTGTCATTTGACTAGAGGACAATCATTGCCCTCCTCATGGAGTAGAAATGAGGATTATGAGTTAATATCTATGAAGCGTTTAGAACAGTGCCTGACATATAGTAATTGCTATATGTGTTAATCAGATAGTCTCTATTTGGTTATTAGACAGATCATCAAAATTGATTTAGACGCAGTATTCTTTTTTTATGAACCGTACTGTCATAAAACTTGGGTTGTAAATTTTAAGACTTGTTGCTGTAGACGGAATGAATTGTCAATCACCATGAGTATAAAATGACATCTCAGACTTATCTGCCGTGCAAATGAAGTTTGATCTAGTAGTGGCCAAGCTGAAATAAACTTTACAGAGAGGCTGCCTAGGAATATTTCAGTAGTTGGCCTGGCTCATGTGTTTCCCTGTCATCCAATAAAATCCTACGGGAATCTCAACACAAACCAGACAAAACCAGAGATGACTCCAGGTGCAGTAGGGTTGCAGTTCAGCTTCCTGAAACACATCTCAGAACAGCTGGTTTAATGCCAGAGGTCTGGGCACACCCTCTTAAATGAAGTGATTTGGCGCTTCCCAAAACAATTGAAATGAACAGAATTTATTCTGATATTATCCATTAATAATAAAACATCCAAAATAATTGGTCTTGGATTACTAGGCAAACTGAAAACTGAATACTAGATATTGTGGCTCAAATAGTTCATAACTCCAGGGATTGAAATCTGTACATTATCTAGAGTAAGTTTTGATTGTCTTGCTGTTTTTAGTTTATTTGGGCTTGAAGGCATGAAAAGGGAGAGAAGACCTTTTATATATATGCTCACTCCATGAGCACTGGTTGATGGTGGATAAGTAGGGAAGAATTAATAAAAGTAGAGTAGGAAGCAGTGTCTTTCTAGTTCTAGCTTGAGTTACTCTTGCTGGTTTAAAAAAAATTCCGAAAATCCAGCAACTGCTTTCTGCAGTCTCTGGAACATGGATGGCTCTGTGTTCAGAAGAGAATAATTTATGGGGAGTAGGGAGTTGCCCTATTTATTTTTAGAAAAACTGGTTGCAGTTAGGGAAGTCATTTTTATTCTCTTTTAGTCCCAAATGTGATTTTTCACTCCTCATCCCTGTAAGAACACACACCCTAGCTCGAGCCCCGGACAGGGAGCGTAGCGCTGGGTGGCTGCTGATAATGCTGCAGCCCTCTCCCAGGTAGCTGCGGAAGCTGCAGCGTTCTGCTCCTCTCTGCCTTCTTCAGAGGGAGGAGCTGGTGCTGACTGTGCTGAGACCATGACCTTCAGATTGTATTTACTAGCCATTCGGACCGTTTCCCCAGTAACTCTAGCTTTCCCTCCAGATGTCAAAGATGAATGGCCGAAGCAACAGAGGTAGGAGTAGGAGCCTGTGGACTCTTAAAAAAAAAAAAAAAAAAAAAAAAAAAAAAAGAGAGAGAGAGAAAGAAAAAAGAGTTGTCTTCTCTTAAAAGATAGTCATAACTTTATAACCTTGCCTTTCATAGGCCAGTGTTATATGCCTACAATTTTTAGTTTGGCTTCTCTTTCCTGTGGGCATTTCTGTCTCAAGTTGGGGATATAAAGCAAATCTGGAGCAGCAGCTTTATTTGGGTATGAAGGCAGCCAAAGGAAACCTGGAATGTGGCAGGAGTGTATTTGTTTGGCAGCCCTGGCATCAGCGCTAGTGATCATTTGATACCTCCCCTTGGGTACAGCAGGGATCCTTCAAAGCTGTTGGCTCTGGGGGTGAGCATGGGTGGATCCCTCAAACAGGCTGTAAGGTCTCTCAAGCAGCTAATCATCTCTGACTCGGACACCTGCTCATGACCAGTCCTAAGCCAAGTCATGGGGGTGCTGGCCTCCAAGGAGCTCTGTGTGTTTTCATCTCCCCAGCCATGAGCAGGATGCAGTGTAGACCACTTGCAATTAAGCACTAAATTGTATGGTGCTCACAGAAATCAATAACTCGTCAAGTTGCCTTGAGTAAGAGTTCTAAATCCTGCAGGATGAGTTCTATCTGGATATGTTTCTTAGAGATACTGAAATTAAGGTTGGAATATGTTCACAGTGGAAGCCTTAAAAAGTACAGCTAATTGGACAAATGCACCAGTCTGTGTCTTTGTCCCCTTAACACAATGCCCAGCATATGTTAGGGAGTTGAATTTTTATTATAGCTGATCCTTAGTTTTTTTCATCCATGTGATTCTTTGATTACTTTCAACTGTCCATTTCTTAGACAATCTATCAAGTGAGTCTCAGGAAATATCTTAAATGCTACTGAAATCCTATTATCCATTGGGTGCTGGGATTCTACTACAAAGACTGGTCTTGAAACAAAAATAAACATAGTAGACCCTTTAATGCTGTTTTGAACTTCACTATCTTGTTAACTGAGGCATCAGCTACAAACAGGGGTGCTACAGATTTAACATGATTCCTCATCAGCATTTATTGAGCACTAGTGTGCCCAGCTGCAAATACTTTCTGAGGAAACAGAAGCATGGACATAGGGTAACCTAACAGAAGTGCCTCAGCCTTCTCACCCTCATTTGTTCTTGCAGATGTAGTGGCAGGTGCATTTCAAGTGGGTTTCTACATACCAGTTAGCATTTCTAGAGTTCTTACTATGTGCCAACCCTGCCTCCTTCAGTCCTCACAGCAGCGCTATTGGGTATATATTCTGACCCCATTTTAGAGGTGAATAAACTTAGGCTCCGAAGTAATATAACTTCTCCACAGGAAAACAGAACGGTTGGTGCCAGAATTTAAACTCGGATTTATCTGATTTATCTGATTCTGGAGCACAGGTACTCACTAACTAACTACGCCTTGACATGTTTACACTTTGCAGCACTTAGTTCTGAGTGTTTGTCATTTTCTCAACAGACTCAACAAAATGAAACCAGGATGCTTTTGGCTGCATCTCACACTGCTTGGAGCCTCCCTGCCTGCTGCGCTGGGGTGGATGAACCCAGGAACCAGCAGAGGATTGAACATGGGTGTGGGAGAGTCCCGGGAAGAGGTATAGTCACGTCACGGCTGACATGACATTTAAAACTCATTGCTTTTCAATGTTAGAGTATCTGATTTCCTTTCCACCTTTAGTTTTTATCAAGTAGATTGCAGTGAAAATTAAAATCCTGCCCCCTTTTTGGTAGGGGACAGAAGGAAGCCACGTGTGTTGATAAGGACAGGAGGTTTATATCATGCTGTTAAGTAATGGTCTAAAATCTCTCCAGTGCCAAAAATGTATCCCCAGATCCAGCTACAGTTGCATGTTTTGTCTTCCACACAGACCCACCAGAGAACGGCCTTTGTATATATTTAATAGCACTCTGAAAGTGCTGACTCATTGGTGGAGCACACCCATGTGAATTAATGAAGTCTTTTAATTAAAAAATATGTTATAAAGGAAGTAGACTTCTTTTCAGCTATATAGATAACAAGAGCCAGGTGAGTAAGAACTGGAGGGTAGAGGTCCTACGGGAGACAGCCTTAATGAACAGATAAGAATGATTAATGGCATGTTAGGTATATACAAAGGCTTCTAAAGTGCTTGAAAAACTTGTTCTCAAATACCTCCCGGGAGAGTCTTGCTATCCTGCTAATTGCTTAGTGAACTCTGGTCTGAAGTAATGAAAAGGAGTCATAAACTGCAACCAGCCCTGCTCAGGTAGTAGAGGCCTCATGAATTTGGGGCTCATGAGGGATGTAGATTTTCTGCATGTGCTGATTTTTTTGGTACATGCTGAACCTTGAGCAATGACTACGCCCTTTCAATAAAACCACCTAGGATTTTCTTCATGACGTGATGAATACTGATTCTTACCTGAGAGCTTTCCAGGGCATCTTAACTGCCACTGTCTTCCGTGATGCCTCCCCTTCTCCTTTTCTCTGTGCGTGCTTCCCATCCTGTGGAATGAGGAAGAAAAATCACCCCCAAAAGTCAACGTTACCCGGAGAGTGAATAACGATCCACACTATATGGTAGGATTAATGCGTTATTTGAGCAAAAGACACGATTTCTCTTTCATTATTACTTAATTGTAATGCAATCCCAAGGCTACAGGCCTTAATCTTCGGGAAGCTACAGAAGTAATTTAATGTGCACTCTTTTCCTGCTGAAGTTAGTGTGGCTTTCCTT